AGCCTTCACAATAAAAAGCCAATTGCCTCTTAACAGCCATCTTTGTTGATTATGGATAAAATACCATCATTTGAAAACAGGCTGAAGTCTTTGACTTTCTCACAGTGTATGCCTGAAACATTAATGACATTGGCATGGTCCTTATTGCATTCATGATGGTACATTTGTCAGTCATCAAAACCTTACAGCAAAAACACATTCCATTAAAACAGCTAGGTAGAACAATGAAATATTACATCAAAATAGACAATTACTGGAAGGTAAAGTGTTGCTTTCTCAAAGTTCATATTTATAACACTTTCGGTTTAAAATGTCAGAAGAATGTGAGAAGGATTATCATACTGCCAGCTGTAAAGACATTATTATATTTATTGGTATTATACTTAAATATATAATACTAAAACAAATAATGAAGGAGGAACTGACATTTTAAGTGTTTTTTCTGTTATATATTTCATTTGTTTAGTGTGTGTGTGTGATCTGAAATGTGATATTTGACATTAAATGAAATGAATTGTAAAAAGTTTTTCATTTCTTTGTTACAAGTTGTACTTTTCCAGAGTCCCTCACATCTAATTAATTTGTATTCAAATTCAGAGTGAATCCATTTGTAAAATATATTAAAAATATTAGATCCATCTTACAGCTCTTTACATATATGTCGATGTATACTGTTGTAAAGCAAATTTAAATAATGTACAGTCATACATAAAAAGTATGGCTGGTTGAATTACTGTGTTTTAAAAAACTGGAAAATCTAGTGGCATATGACAAAGAAGTGATTAATAGTATCAGATTAAAAAAAATACTTCTGGTCTTTTACAAAAGATAATATAATTAATTTAGTTATAAACAGTAATACAGTAATACAACAGCTATTTTAATAGTCCACATTCAGGCCATTTGTTCTACAATTTGAAAATAAATTGCAAATAAATATTTTTTTGTGTTCCTCCATACGTAATTAATGATTCCAACTCCAGATTGTTTCATGCAGTTAGATATGTTGAGAGTTTAGAAATTGTGTTACTATAATGTACAGTACGCCAAAAACGCTGTGAGAATATTATTTATTGGACAAACTAATCAAGGCTATACACATTCAAACAGGCTAAGCTGGTCCAGTCTCCAGAATTAGAGAAAATATTCCTGCAGGAAGAAATACTGTCAGGTTATGTTTATTCAGATATAGAATTAAAATCTGCTGGAGACATCAAATTGAACAGTTAGAATTTTAATTTAACTGCCATGGACAAATACATCTATCAAAGTCATGTTTATCTTTAGGATAATAGTTTCGGTCTTGGTGAGATGTTTTACGATCGCCTTGTCAAAGACATCCTCTGCCATTAAAATAGTTTGGGTTTTTGCTGTACTTGAACTAAATACAGTATACCAAATCATATCATACATGAATTTGCTGTCAGCCTTCACCTCAGAGGACTGGTTTTTCAAAGGCATGGTGTTCCTTTAAAATATATAAAGGTGCAAGCCAAGTTTAATCCCATAATGAAAGATCAGAAGGAATTAAACCTTCTTTGGGTACAGTATGCACAGGACAGAGACAAGATATGAAACCATATGATATGAAACCAGGAGAGAAGTTTGGTAAATAAAATAAAGAAGAGATAAGAGTGGTAGGGGATAGGAAAACCATTGGATAGTTTATTGTAAATTTGCAAAAGAGATTTTGAGGTGGGGATGAAAGGCAGCTACCTGTATATGCATAGGGAAATTTAAAAATAGGTTTTTCAATTGTGTGGGGAATGCATGAACACAGTCTAAAAATGATTTTTGCTTCCATTGTCTTTTTGGCACAGTTGTGTTACAGACACAGAGGTCGGTATGATAGCAAATAGGAGGGAAAAAAGGTGTATGGTATGGATTTTCTATTTATTTGTTTTGCAAAATGATTCTATTAACCTTTATAGAGGACGTGAATTGGATTATGTGAATCAAAAACAAACCATTGGGATTTTCTAGCATGAAATACAAATTCCATTTTATTTGGTACATTCAACTGAGTTAAAAATGAGCATTCTGTAAATTTGTATGATTTTCCAGAAACGTTTTCAGGTTAAGATCACAACTGGTTATGGTGGACCTTTAAGACCTTTGTGTGATTCCATCTATCAGTTATTTGCAGCTCATAAAAACCTTTTTTTAATAAAGATATCAATTTTAAACTTTTGGTCTAAAGTATGTCTTTGGAAGCACAGAACTTTCTTCTTACTGCAATTTTAAACCAATTACTTCACCAAGATGTGTTGAAGTAATGGCACACTTTTAGTTTGAGGATGTCTTTATTCCTCACTGCTCTGACAGTTGCTTTGACATGTTGAAAATCTATTTGCAGGTGACAAAACTAAAATTTTGTGTTTTATTGTTTCTTTTGTGTTTAGTTTGGAATTAACCTATACTTGTTCTGTGCTAATCGCCAGTGAAGCAGGTCCCCACTCTAAACCTCTTCAAACAATTTGTGCTACTTCATACATTATGTTATGGCGTTATATTTATCATAAATTGCTAGACTTAAATCTGAATCATGAGTACAAGCTGATAAGGGCACTTGGCACAGGTCAGAATTTAATTTACAGGTTAGAAGCTCGTAATCTGTGCAACACTGAATTTTATATGAATATAAATTCTACCCCAATAGTTTTATAAATTATACAGAACATGCTTATTTTTCTCAATTGGTATCGTTCTAGTAGGCAGTACAGACAGATAATTGGAGCACATATTTTGTTAATAAAATTTTTCAGAGCAGACTTTATACTTTTGGCTCAATTCAATTCAAGAAACAACTAGTAGTACTGGTATTTGAAAAGTGTCAATCCTGAAATGCATTCTTGGTCTACAGTAATACCTTATTATCATATTAATACACAACAGGTGTGACAGTACAAGAGATTCACATGTATCTGAGACTTATTCCTCTTGACAGAAACTGCAGAGAAACAGGTCCTTGACATAAGACCCTTAGAATGTTTGAAATTCTGTCACATTGCGGGAGCATAAAACCTCTGGATTAAATTGATTTGTGACACCTGAACATAAATATGTTAGAGTAGATTGGTCATACTTGTTCAAGACCTTCGCAATCTTGTCTCCTCCAGAAGAAAATTATCATGTCACTTTTAAATAAAACTGCAAAAGTATTAAACTAAGCAATTTAATGTTTGAAGAAACAAACACCCTTGAAGGAGGTTGTCTAAATTTTGAGGTGGCTGTCAATTGCATGACTGTATGAAGACAACAGCTGTGTTAATCATGCCAGCTAACATACTCCTAACCTCATGTGTGCTCTGATATATCAATCTAAGGAAGGGAACTACTAATGCCTGCTAAAATGGATGACAGTTATCCCAGGGAACAAATTCAATGATACTGTAAATGTCCCCTGAATTTGAAATACAGTAACTGCATGATTATCTTGGTGTGGATGGATTTGAAACACTTTTATAAAACAATGTCCAATAAAAGAAACAACAACAATAATATCAATATAAGAAACCAAATAAAAAGAATTGAATTGCTTTCAACAAAACTATTGGGATGGTCACAGCTGGAAATATTTCTTGACAGTCATGACAGGATTTTGGAGCCTCCAAAGGTCATAAGGAACTACTTTTTACAGCACAATGACAAGTCAGGGTACTATTGTTAACAAGCACATCCTTTTCCCACCAGTACTCCTGCCTTCTTATATTTCTTATCAGAAAATTAGGTGAGCTTATCAGATACATTAAGTGGATTAAGTCTCCAATATTGAGTTAACCAAAATGTATAAGCATCTGAAACTCCTGATCAGACCTCTCAAGGTCAAGGAAAGAAATTGATTTTTTTTCAATGTTTTGTTTCCAGCATAATCTCAGGCCAGTGTAGTTTCGTGTATTATGATGGTATGTATTCATCCTGCATCAATTTATTAAGAATTTAATAGTATTAAACAAAAATATATATTTTTAGAAGTCAATAGTAGTAGATATTCATAGCCTCCAATGTTTTGTTAATGTACTTTTAATTATCTCCTGGTAAATTTAATTAGAATTTGGTCCACTTTGTTTGACTTCTCTTATTACATTTTAAAAATATTAGTACATATTTAGAGATGCAATGATTGAATATATTCTGTATAAAAGATTACAAACATTTGATCTATTTGATACACATCTCTGTGTAAACATAATTATAATTTACATGTAGTATATTTTAGGATTTAGAAAAAAAATCCTAAAAAAAAACTTTTGTGTCGTCACAAACCTTTCACTGGAGTTAAATTGAAATGTGCTGTAACAGAAGCTGGTCCAGGCTTTTGTGAAGCGTAGTTCAGGACCCTATGCAGACGATATAATCCGGAAGTAAGTGGAGAAGGACATCAGGGGAAGGTACAGCAGGATTAGGACGGGTTGACAGACAGGTGGGCGTGACGACGGTGCTCGGGGGGCGTGGCACTGGCAAACAAGTTCGGACAATCCAAGGGGAAAATCCAGGGCGCAGTCCAAAGTCCAAAACCAGGTGATCCATCCAAGACGAGATAAACAAGGTTAAAATCCAGAATGGAATCCGGAACAGGGACAGGGAATAAAACCAAGGTAACAAGGTCGGGCATTCCGAGCCCCGGACTCAGATGGTCAGGATGCCGTTATGAAGCCTATGCCATTGGGTCTCTCCTAGACCCGCTGGTAGGCGGGCTTCCGGGCGTCCATCTCCCAATGCTGAGCCAGGCATAGCGGGAACGTCCGCCTTAAATAAAGATGGACAAACAGGGGACAGGAGCATGAAATGAACTCAAATACAAAAAGGTCGGAGCGCCCTTAAGAGGAGGGAGGAGGATTGTGACTTGTGCCAATCAAAAAATGATTGTGTCTGACCTTTTTAATAAAAAGAAAATGAATAACATCAGTTGATCTTGAAAGAAAATGAGATGTAATTTAGAATTAAACTATTACATGAACTGCTTTGAAAATAAGTTTCTTGGGGATTTTTTTAAACAGAGATGCCCAGCAGTCCTCAAGGCCAATTCACCTTCAGACCTCTCCCGCCACCTCCTCCACCACCCCACGCCTGCACCTGTGCCCGTCCTCCAGCACATTCAGGAGAAACTCTACAGAGAAATACCATGCCGGCCCGCAGTCAAACCAGCCAGGCTGCTGGGGACTCTTCCTCAAACACGCAGCAGGACAGTGTGCAGCTGCACAACAGCTGGGTCCTCAATAGCAACATCCCTCTTGAGACAAGGTGAGTGAAAACCCATACCTTGGCAATCTTGTCTTGAGCACTTTGTGGAAAATTAGTTTGGATTGGGTTTGGAACTGGGGGGTGAAGCAATATGGCTAAGATGTAGGTTCCTATGTACAAGGTTCCAAAACTCACATTTTTTTACTATGGGTCAAATGTGACCGACATATGCCTGTTGTTTTTTTTACAGCTGTTTCAAGAGGAAGGAGTTAATGGTGATATGATCCAGATTTACACAGTACAGTGTCTTATACCCTAAACTTTTCAAGGAGTTCAAAACTTAAGAAAAAGTTCTTATCTTTTATATATTTATCTAAACAAGTATATCTTAAGATTCAGTTTTGTACAATTTATTGAAGGGGGCACCACAGTGGCACAATGGTTTGCATTGCTGCCTTGCCTTCTTATGCTCCTGTACTGGATAATGGTTGGATGGATGGACTTGTTGAATGATTCGTAATGTTAATTCAGATACCAAGGGTCTCATATTATTTTTGTATTCAAAATGTCTTTGCTATTAAAAACAGTTGCTTAAGTCTGCATTACTTCCTGCAAGAATTTAAGCAATTTTCAGTGGTTGGAATATTGGTACCAATACGTTTAATAATATATAAGTCAAGCAGACTTTAAAATTGAATGCATTGCAATGGGCACTTATAGTTTAATGTAATATGGGCTAATTTTTAAGGGTTGTGCATCCTCATTTTTGTCCCAATTGTACCTGTTTTCTTGCAACACCTTGTATCCTTAACAGAATAAAATAAAGTAGAATTTGCCATCTGTGATTCCATCTTTTGCAACAATACTAAACCTATTCAGATACCATCTCCCGCCACCATAGAACCAAAAGATAAATGATTTATTAGCATTTTTAATGAAAAGTTAGTAACAGCTGAATTCTCCTCTATAATGACATTGCTTGACATTGGCAGGTAGCCAGTCATGAGGAAGATTTTTAATGATGTATGTATCAGCACATAATTAAATCTTCTTTAGGTAAGAAAAAAGACTAAGTTACTGGATCCTGATGCAGTTCTTTCGATTTTTATTGCTTTTTAACTGGCATGAAAATTTGAAATATAAGATTAGCGAAAGTCAGTCTAGTCACACACCTTGTATAATTCACAAGTAATGTATCTGGAAATGAGCCACCTTAAAATGCATAACACAATTTGAGCATCTGTAGTCATTCTGCAGCATTCCTAACTTCACCTGCACCTCTTAGCTCTGACTACGTTTGAAACCACCAATAAACTTTCTGTCTGTAACAAGAAAATGTTCAGTACAAGGTCTCACCCCAAATACATCTTGGCACTTGATCAGCCGTACAGGTAAGCTGAGGAGCTGTAGGTCTCTTGCTTCTCCAAAACGTAACACCAAATACATTTTATAATATAAAGGGATGTGAGAAAAAATAGTTTAATTTGTACTATTTATCCATATCAAACTTAAATAATCGGTTTCCACAGTAGTCTTTATTCTTAGGTCAGTCAGAGTGGATATAAGAAGGCTAAAGAGTTGAAACTTCCCCAGCAAAACAGGTTAGGTAGCACGATAATTGATAAGCAGTCAAGAGGAACAATTCCCACTGACAGCTGTAGGAGGTTACAGGTGAAATGAAATTGGCACCCATTCAGCCCTGTCTCTAAAAACTTTTTTCTCTCCAATTGGTAAGGAATGATTTAAAATTTCCATGTCAGTACTTGGTTCATCTGTCAGGTTCATGTTTAGATGAATGGCTCTGACACTAACCTTAAAACATGCCTCTTTTCAAGCATTTTCTGTTCCTATTTTTCTAGCAGCTCTTAAAATTCCATCAGTTAACATCTTTTACTACTATACAGTAAGTCTTGTTTTTGTATTAAAGAAATACAGTTCATTTATCCACCTAATTTTTAGACTTATCCAAATGTATAAACTGTTCCTTTAGGGTTACGATAAGAATACAACATGATTTCAGAATGAAGTCTGTGGTATCATTGACCATATATAGGTTTTTAAATTATTCAGTCTGTAAATTTATTTAATAGATTAATAATATGGATTAAACTTTCTGGTCAAATTGTGACTAAATATGCAAATACAAAAAAACATAATGTTTCAGAAACTTTATGAGCCAATGGATTGGTCCTCTTTCATCCTCTTTTATTATTTTTTACTGAGAATATATATTATGATAGAATATATAGTATATTATGATATGAAAGTTACAATTTCACTGACATTTTTATCAACATTTGTTATGCTCTGTGTACACAACCCACCATAGTGTTCCAACTCTGTTCAACCAACTCTGTGTTCCACAGACTACCATAGTGGTGTAATGATAACACCAAGTTAAGAAATGGATCCAACTAGTCCACTTCCTAGAGAAATAGAACACAGCTTTCAGTAGCTCTCTGGGGAAATAATGTTTCAGATATGGAATCTGATCATGTCTGGTTCCAGGAGGTAGGTGGCTATTGTCCCGTACTTGTTATCAGTAATAACTCTGGAGATGTTATGATGAAAGAAATGTAAAGGCTTTAGAATTGCATATGAATATCAAAGAAGATATATTCATCATTGTGTTTTTAGGATTATTTATGAATATTTAATTTAAAGAGAATTTGTTTATATTATTAAGTTTTTACTTTCATGGTTCTAACATGAATTTGTGAAGCACACAACTGTGTGTGGTCACAGAAATGGGAGTTCACAACCTAAGCTTTTTTCATGAAGAACTTAATATAAGATGATATATCATACTAATTACTGTATGCTTTGATTTGTTAGTGCAAATGCCTTTGATGCACTCAATATTTTTTCTTTCTGGACTGATTTTCTGAAAAATAACTCAATTTAGTAGGCCATTATTGTCCTAGTTATTTAACACACTATTTTGGATGCTGTAGTTAATCAAAGGGTCTTTACAAATGCTCATTTGTGGTGTTGTTAGAAACCATAAAGTCGTCTGTATTCAATGATATAAGATAATATTAGCTCTCTGTGTAGCTTCTTCAGTACCAGTACCATAGTAGGAAACTTCAGTACCATGGTTGAGACTAAATGAAGTTTAAGGAGATAATAGGATTTTAAGTTATTTGCAGGGAATTAGAGACAGGTCTGTACATGTTAATTAAACAAAATCAGACTCTAACCTTCTTCTTTGTGACAAAAATAATTTGAATGTTTTTATGAAGCACATTTAATTTTACTTTGATTAGGAATTATCAAATTAGGAAGATTTTATTAGGAATAAAAAAGTATGAATGATTTTACAAGAGGTGGGAGTTGATTTTTGGAAGCATACATAACCGTCAAAGCTAAACATTGTGGCAACTTTAGATGTTGAACTTAATATTAAAATTTGATAGAATTATATATTTAACGTGACTCACAGGGATGCATCACTCATTATGTCTTGAAATTCACTACAGGGGAATTCATTTTAAGGAACTACTAGAATTAATATATTTATTAAACTTGAAGCATTTTTAAATGATTGTAAAAGGATCCTGCTCTTCATATTAGTCCAATGCCATAAAACCTAATTGTGATATATAAAATACTCTGTTAACGCTAGTGAAAAAACTTCAGTAAAAGTGTAGATTACATTTTCTATAGAGGATCAGAAGTACAGAATAATTTTGCACGCCCCACTTTTCATTTTTTTATTAGTTAAAAAAGTTTCAAAAATCCAATAGATTTCGTTCCACTTCACAATAGTGTCCCACTTGTTGGTGATTCTTCACATAAAATAAAAAATTTATATCTTTATGTTTGAAGCCTGAAATGTGGCAAAAGGTTGAAAAGTTCAAGGGGGCCGAATACTTTCGCAAGGCACTGTATACAGGTACAATGTCCGGCAAAAGTATTCAGACCCGTTCTATGAAGTCCAATTTTGTGAAGTTATAACAAAAAACATTTTTAAAACATAACATGGTTGCAGCTGTGATTTAACCACAGGTTGTATTCTATTTATTAAAAAAGGCAGCTTTATCTTAATCTGGCCTTTGTAAGCATTAAGAGTTCAACACTTTGTAAGACTCTGGGGTTTTTCAGGGTGCGTAGGATGTTGGTCTATGGGATGCGTTGTCTGTCAACTTATATTGTACATAGAGTAACTTGTGTGTTGTATCTTTATGTTGTGTATAGTGTATGTATTTTCACTGTTAATAAATACTTCCTAATGTACCTGAATTATTGCTCTTTTCACCAAAGCTGTGCCAGAGAACAAACAATTCACATGCCTCTAACTATACCAACTACACGGGTATATTCTCTGCAAATTCCTTATAAAGATTATTTATTTTACTTATTGATTTATCTACTAGGTCAGTTCCTGTTATTCACCTTTTTCATAACCCCTATTTGTAACAATAATGACTTAAAATTTAAAGACTTCCAAGCATTTTATAAATTACAGTAAATATCAGCAAAAACTAAAGAGAAAAGACTGAAATTTTGAGTGCGTACGTATTCCGACCTGCAAATTCTAGTCTGAACCACATTTGGCAGAAAGTACAGCCACAAGTCTTTTTAGGCATTCTATTGCACACCAATTTTGCTACAGTTTGGTGCACTTTTTGCCCATAAGTCTTGAAAGAGTTTCTGAATTTCTTTCAACTTGCTTGTGGATCATTTATGGACTTCAGTGTTTAAGACCTTCCACTGGTGTGTTTCCCTTCTGAAAGGTGAATTTTTGTCCAACATATTTTGAAAGTGTTTTGAAAAGATCAACTGGCACAGAGAGTCTTGAAAAGGTACAGTACAATAAAGCTCAATTGATAAAGATGGAAAAAATAAATAATGAAGTGATGAGCTTTTCTCCTACTGTAAATTGAGTATTATGCTCTCTGCTGCTATAGATTGTTTTTCTTCTGGAGAAATGCCCCTGAAGCAAGATACCTGTATCACATTTTTTTAATGGAACTGATTTGCTTTGTCTTTCACCTTTTTTTTACAGAAGAAGAAAAATACAAATCATTTTAACTAATCTATAAATTGTCATTGTAATTCACACATTTTGTGATGTTTTAAGATTTTCAAAAATGGATAATGTTCTGAGGATGATACAGTATGTGAAAGGAATTGTATATTCACTTGATGCATAAAAGTGCTTTATGTGACATATCTACAGCAAAGAAAATGTGCTGAAAGCATCAAAGCTTACACTTGCAGAGAAAAACAATTTTATTTTTCTGTAGAATGAAAATTGGCCATATTTTGCCAAACCCACTACTGTTTTTGCCAGCAAGAGCCCTCACATTGGCACCAGTCCAAGAACATCGAAAACGACAGCAACCATTTTAGTGGAACAATTCTTTCACATCAGATGTACAGTATAGCACATCAGAAAATAATCAGATGTCCCACGTATGTTTTCAGTGATTAACTCACAGGTACTCTTGCAGCAGCAACAGCTACTGTGTGAGACAACCACACAAAGAAATAACAGGGGTACAGGTAATACCAAGTCATCCGCACAGAACATTCTTCATCACAATAGGTCTCAGCAACACAGATTCTCCTGCTCTGCAAGCATTATCAATAATGGATGCAGAATGCTGAAAGAGCATGCTGCCAATGTGGCAGATAATAACATCTTCTCAGATGAGATCATTATTCATCTGAACAGGACCATGAACTGCCAGAGCATTTGTTGCTGGGTTGAAGAAAACCTCCACATGGCCATGGAACACACGCAATTCAATCCACATATCGTGGTGTGGTGTCACTGAACCATATTTTCTTGCACCTTAGTTCTATCATTCATCCTTCTTTCATCATAAATTGACCTCACCATTTGCACATCAGGTTCCATCAAGACAGACCTCTTGCACCTTATTCAGTGCATGTCCAAATGTAGTTAGACAACAAATTTCCCAAATAATAGACAGGCACGCAAAGTCACTTTTTATGGTGTCCACTGTTACCAGACAATGTTTCCAGATTTTATTTCCTGTGAGGACATTTAAAGTCACATTTTTATTGCTCAAATGAACCCATTCAATGAATTCCAATGAGCTTGCTCTGATCGATGCAGTGACATTATAGAATCCCAAGGTGTATTTGAACCAGTGAGTTGAAATGTGAGCATTTAAACATCTTAAGCTCATACCAGTATTTTTTTTTTGTCATTTTTGTTTTCACTTCTTATTAAATTTCAAAACGCTTTTGAGAACCTACAGGAAGATCACAGTGTCCCTGGTGCCCTCTCAAAAGACGTATAATCCTATTTATACAATATGATATTTTTTCTTACTATGATCTTTTTTTATCAAAGTATATTAAATGTTGGTTTGTGTAAAGTTATCGATACAATATCAACTAGTTTAAAAATACAGCAATACCAATATTTTTAATAATTATATTTAATAAGGGAATCTTTGAAAAGCATTTACAGTATGTGCTGATTTTAAAGGGCAATTATTTCTGCAGGTTTTTATTTCTGACATAATTTGACAAATTTCCACACCCAAGATGTAGAATTAGTTCAATTAATGTTTCTCTCTGATTAGAACTTGAATGGAATTAAAAGGAAAAGTTAGGGCTTTTTAATTATTTATCTTTCTTTATAAACACTGTCAGAGTTTTTTATGCTGTTTTAGGGAAGATGTAAGTTTTGCATAATAGAGTACGTTTTGAGTAAAAGTAAGCTGTGCTTTACCAGTACCAGTACTGAAATAAATGTCTTTAAAATTTCAAAATAGGACATGCTAATCTAAGACACATCTGAACCAAGTTAATGTTATTAGAAGAGATTCCAAGTGTCTCCATTTTAAAAGTTGAAAATATTATTATTCTATGGCCATTCTAAATGTTTAATTTTATTTAAATGATTTCATTATTTAAATGAAAAGCACAGTTTATTGTTGTTTTTGTTTTAAATAGTTTTACTAATTTTCATCCATGCATTTTAATGTGCTTAATAATTAAATAAACGGCAAATATGAGCATGGTAGGAGCAGATGGAAGCTCATAAAAACATGTAAAATTCTCCCTAGACAGACTCATCTGTACATGTACAGAAAACCCTTTAATCAAACCTTCTTGACACATACTGCAGAGTCGAAGCAACTTTCATATTTGAACATCTCAATCAGCAGAGCTGACAGGATCATAGAACACAAAGATCCTAATAGTAATTGACATTTGTCCAATATCAACGCAATTACATATTTTTGCTGCATCAGCATGTAAATGCCATTCATAACTACAACCATTTTTAAATTTGTTTAAATTATATAGCAATAGAAATTGATTGGTTATAATTGAATACTTTTTTTGTACTTAATAATATTTGGTTGTGTCAGCAGTACAAAGGCTCCAATCTTTTTGTAGCAGAGTACAATCAATTTTCACATGTGAGTTCCATTTGAATTGGCTGAGAGCTCAATAAATCAATCTTGGTTTTTAAATTTCCTGTCTCATAAAAAAATCTGAATTTATTTACTGTTCCATGGGCAATAGTTGTAATAAAAGAGATGTACTTCAATGTACTTTGTTAACCTTGCATCTGAATCAGAAGAAACTTCAGTTTTTGAATTTCAGTATGGCAGCATTTGTGTCCTTTATTCTCTGGCACTGCTTGAAAAATAGAGTAATATACAATAATAATCAGGCTCAAACATAGAACAAACACTGTTTACTAACACTAAATAATGCAACAATACAAAACACAACAGATGTACTATGTACAGATGTACAATTCAGAGTTACAGAGTTCTACCTTTTATAAACATAAAACGTCTAGAATTCTGGTTTTTAGATTATAATCTAAAGGCCTAAAACCTGAGAAAAGAGAAGTCCTGCATCCTAATAAACAAAACAGATCCTAACTAGAATCCTAACTTTAATCACAAAGGCACTGGTAAAATAGAATATACAGTACCTGTATGTCTTTAACCAGTGGATTCCACAATAAAAGAAATCTTAATTTTAAAATAAAAAAGACTGTAATAGGGCTTTAGGATTACCTGGAGAGAATCTGGTTTTCAAACTTCCAGTAGTTATGGATAGGTCTGTTACTATCAATATTGGGCTAGAAACCTTACTAGTTACGGGCCAATAACGGAGATTTATGTTTTAACATGTCTGTTTTATTGATTTAACGGTGATTTTGTTTAACTTGAGTACATTTTTAGGACTCCTTTTGATCATCTATGTTTTCCTCTGTATTTATGGTAGCAGCTCACTAAATATATCAACACACTATCCAGTGGTCCAAATCTTCTGAGTAAAGTAATCACTGACAAGTGCAAACATTGCTAACCTTCTTGAAACTCAGTTGTCCCCTCAGTCAGTACAATATATCCAGTATGGGCTAAATGACTACCGTTATAAAGCAGACCAAATGAGCTAGCATAAAAAATATTAGAACCTTACCGTGTGAAAGCTGAAATGTAATTGTTTGTTAGCAAAGCTGATCATCTTCAAACATAACTTATTATAACATTTTAATGTGACTTCCAGTACAATATACAGTGTTCCTAGTTTAATGGAATTCACTTAACATAGTGGCTAATGGAGGCCAGAGAATTTAAATTAGGGAGTCATGTTTCATTATTAAAAAACAACGTCCCTTTTTCAGCTTGTTTAGCAATAAAGAAGATATTGTTCCCAAGGTCAGGTATGTTGTGAAGAGAGACACTGTGTCACTCTTGCTATAAACTGAAATCAATATAAAGAGCAGTTCACCATCACTGTCAGATTTATAATTATGATAATAAATTTTATTTAAATGTTATACAGCTTCTTGTCGTCTATACCTGAAAGTGCTGTACTCGCAAAAACGTTATGTAGGTCAAAAATAGACGTTTTAAAAACACTGTGTATAATTCTGAGCTTGCATCAATGAGACATAAAAATCAATGCATTGAACCAACAATGTGTGCATGCATGATTTTAGATGAGATGAAACAATGCTGTCAGAGTATTAATTTCTCTAAAGCTGCATTGCATTTACTCAGCTTTAATCTAATTCAACCAAAAGGTGTTTCTCCTTATTGGTATACAGTATATATCATAAGTACTGCATCTCAACTCATCATCCTGTGGCTGAGGGAACAAACTGTAGTGTTAATACCAGCTAGTTCCAGGTTTTAGTGTAACCCTGGCAGTTTAAGTCATAGAAGAAATGTAAAATTTTCGACTAATGTATGAGGTATTACATCTTGAATCATACATAAAGGTACTGTCCTCAGTTATCAAAATGCAATAGAAGAATGGAATTTTTCATAGAGCTTTTTCCTTGATTAAGTAGATACTGTATATGCTGTACTGCTTCTCATCTGAAAGGTGGTTCTATGTAGTTTTTCAATTATCTTTTTAAACATAATCCTAATCAATGGGTTCTAATAATACTTGTTTTGAAATATATGCCTTATTGTAGGTGTCTTGTTTTAAAATATACACCCTATTGTAGGTGTCTGTAAATGGAATTGTGCTTTGATTCTCAGAAAAGCAAAAAATGGGAAATAGACTGACTGCTTAATCTTTAACTTCAAAGTAATTCCTCTTCTGTTTTGTAGGCATTTCCTGTTTAAGCATGGATCTGGCTCCTCTGCTCTCTTCAATGCGGCCAGCCAGAGCTATCCTTTAACCTCCAACACTGTTTACTCCCCACCTCCTAGACCTCTCCCTAGAAGCACCTTTTCAAGACCTGCCTTCACTTTCAACAAACCCTACAAGTGCTGCAACTGGAAATGCACTGCTCTGAGTGCCACAGCTATCACAGTAACACTAGCCCTTCTGCTAGCCTATGTCATTGGTAAGCTTTCTGGGTCTTTTTCTTACCTTTCTTTTTCCTGTTTCTTTCTCTCCTTCCCCTGATTGAGGTCCTTTTTTTGGTGGAGGAGCTAGAAGGTCAACTTTTAAATGAAGACACTAAAAAGATTGATTCATAGTCAGAAAAATTAAAACACATTAGTATTCAAGACTAGCTAATTAGGGAGCTACCAAGTTAGTTTCAAAAAGCAAGGTGTCATTAGGTGTTAATTGATGTCAAAATGTTTCTTCTTAAAACTTATTTAACTCATTCCTAGTTTGTTAAGTACTTTTCAGATAGTCTCAGAACTCCCCTAAAATTTTTTGCATACCACACAATTATTGATAAACATTCTACTCATAACGTTTAGTGCTTTAGCAGCATAATGAGGTGACATAGAAGAGACTTAAAAAAGTTGAATTTGTGATTTTTCAGTATCTGCAAATTAAAAGTTCAAATCAACGTGCAACATAGAGAAGTATCACAATATATTTAATAGAAAAATGTATAACAATCACAGACAGTTTACAAGTGTTTGTTTGGTTAATCATATACATGTATAGGTAGAAAACTTGGCCACGAAAGTATCAGTAATTGGAAATTCAGGGACTCCTTATGAAATTAATGTAAGATTACTAATGTCACATGCCAATATTGTTGAATATTTTCTAGTGACTCAACTAATGTGTCAACAAATGTTATATAATAATTAATTAATAATAACATATTATAACATATATGACATTAAACATAACATACATTATTATGGACAAAAGACTGTAATGGGTTAAATAACCCACTTGTTTTTTCGGTCTTTAGTTAAACTAATCACATTGCTAAATGCCATTAATCTAAATGCATATCACATTAAAATATAAGATATACATTTTAGTTTATTGCAAAAATGTGAATTATACATTATTATTGTTGTTCATTTTCACCTTCCAATGTGTAATTTATTTAAAATTAATATGAAGCATTCTGATCTTTATCTGTGGGTTTTAAAATACAAATATGTGTTTCACCATCTGTACTATGAAAAGAGAAGTACTTGTTTATAATTAATTTTAATGTAGATCTAATCCCCCCACTCACACACAAATTATGTCTGAAAACCATTATGAATTACAAAATTACAACATGCATTAAAGTATTAAAATATCACATTTTGTTAACAAATAAAGTCTTTATTCACCTTATAAAAAACCTGATGACACCTGGATTATTTCTCTTTAAACAATTCTCTGTACATGTCAACAGTGTTTTAGATGGACTTTCCAAGTAAACTACAACGAAATCTAAGATGGGCTGTACACTTAGAGAGTGTAGCTAACAAAGGTGTTTCCAGGAAAACAGTGTAATTATGTTTTTTTCTGGAGAAATAAAGTCAAGGAAAAGATGCTAAATTGAACAGGCAGTGTCTCTATACAGTGATATTGATTGTAATAATGCTGTAGCAGCAGTTTAGTACAAAAGTCAAACTCTGAAGATTGTTTTACATTTTGCGCTGAATACTGTAGACAGCATAGTGTGACCCATAGTGCAAAACATCTAGTTTTAGACATGTGTTTTTCAAGCAAGTTGTTAAGAAAGGCATCCGGTATCACTGAAAACACAGTACCTTAAGCTTGGGGTCAGACAGTATATCACCCTGTGTCCTTGTTTTCAGAGAAAGCCAATCCTTTCATTGTACTACCAGATTCCCTTTGATTTGTGATGACAGGTCTGAGATATTGCTGGGTGCAAACCTATCTGTGACAGTTCTGTATGATTGTGATGACCCTTTGTACTCTATATAGATGACTATTCCTAGTGCATACATTATTAATAAATAAGATGGAAAATCTGCACAGTTCAAGGCTATTTTATCCTTGCAAGTTCAATGTCTAGACAATTGCAAACAATTTTAATGTGACTACTTTTATCTTTTTTGCAAATACAGAAGCTTTTCTCTAAAGGAAAAACACTATACTTTCAAAATTATCATAAAGATTCTGTAAAAACTGTAAAAAATCATATATAGCTTCTGTTATTTCCTTCAAATTCCTAACATCATCACAAGAAATAAATATATTTTCAAAATGATTTGATTTAAAACACATTTGTCTCCCTCTAATCCACAAAAATCTAGTTGCAAATCCAACAAGAGACAAAATAGGAGATCATATGATTGCAGTTGAGCCTATTTTTTACTGGAGCAAAAATTAAAAGCTTGAAAGATGCCTCATTAAAGAATTATTGCAAAACAATGATGTTTCAGATATTTCAGATTTCAGATTCTATAGCAGCAACTCACAATATAGAACTATTCAAATTTCATAGCCTGCAGTTATGCTGGCACACTAATTTCTGCATACGTACTGTAGTTTTAATTGTCAAAATCATGTCCCTTTGAAAAACTAAGAATTTCATGTATAGTTATCCTAATAACAACTTATTCAGTACTGTAATAGTAGTTTGACACGTATGTTTTTTAGCACTTTACTTACATACACTAGGCCATGCTCATACTCTAGGTCATTTTCATTTGAGGAAGGGGGGGTTCCCCATGTGGTGTAGTTTTAGGGCGCATGAATAGCATCACATCAAGGGAAGTACTAGGAATAAGCCTCCCCTTTCTTCAACACCGGGCCTCCATCACGGCAGGGCCCTGGAGCAGCTGACACTAGCTTTGGAAAAAATACCACAATTAAAGAATTTGTAAGACTTTCTCCACTAGTGGTAATTACCTTGTCATTCTTCCTTTCCTCTGTTTTGCAGAATTTTGCTAAATTTGTCCCCCTGATTATTTACTCTGATAATTAGCAAGTTCAAAGTAACAGTTAAGTTCTAGGTTCTATCTAAGTGCTGTAGTGGAGAGTGATGGAAGAACTACCTCTCTTTTGGTTCTTGCTTTATACAGATTCAATCTGATTAAATACAGCACCTCTCAGTTATCCATTATTAATGAAACAATGAACTTTAAGGTCCTGTGCTCTGTTGTTTTGAATGCCCTTAACAAATATGCTTTGTAACCTTCATGTACATCTTTCATGGATTTCTCCTCTACTAAAAATGCTTTTTAACATGATGCCTTGAAGCTCTCAAAGTAAGATCAATATAACTCTTATAAAGAAAACAGAAAACACAATATACAACAAGCTAATAATAACAGATATTCCATTTACTAAATTATGTAGCCACACTTATGGTCCCATTTAATAAGACAGTTCACAGCAAAAAAAACAGTTTAGTTCCAATCTTTATCATTATTAAAAAGCACTATGAATCTGTTACCGACTCAGAAACAAACTTCAATTCTTTAAAAAGTAACCTTTCAATTTTTGCTTTATTATTAGTCAGTTCCCAACAGGAGACCTTAAATTTTATAAATGATGAATGTTACATATGTATGGTGTTTGTAGGCTTGGGTATCATAAGTATTATTGAAAAAAATGAATTTTTCTCATCGTTGAAATGCAGTGCTGAACATATCAAATTAGCCTTTAAATGTTAATCTTCTTCAAGCTGTTTCCATTACTGGGTGATCTTTCCAAACATATCATAATGGATGTAATGTCAACTAAAATTAAAGTGCATATTATTCATGAAAATGCAAAATAAATCATAGAGTGGAAAATCTATTACCCACAATGCTTTGCTTTAAGCTAGGAGTCATTCGAGATAGCAACCATTACACTTTACTCTTTCTATTCCTTGATGAAGGTTTATGAACTGTACTGCTCCCCAGTGACGACTTGGGCAGAATGGTAGTTCAGTTTAAGATAGTGAAATATATTTTGAAAAAAACATGCATGCTACTAAGAAATTCCAAGGTTTGAAGACAATGGGAAAGATACTGCTAAGGAGTGAAGTATGCTAATCTCAATCATACTGTTTAAAAGAATATATCTAACAAGGTACAATGCAATATAATTCATGTTGGGTTTGCACTCTTTTCCCATACAATGTAACTTTAAAGCCACATTAAAAGAAAATGCTTCTTGCAGGAGTGGTTTGCTAGATAAATACTTTTTTTTAATTGCAGATGTCAAGATATTTCTAACATAAAAACCCAAGTTCTAAATAAAAAACATCGGGCCTCATATTTCTTGAATTCAAAACAATTCTGTGCATCGAATACTAAACACAAGGGAGCTGCAAGGTTGTTGGGAATTTTCAGATATACACTAGAATGTGGTCATGACAAGTAGAAGGTGCACTGCTTAAAATTAAGAAATAACACCTTAGACGTCAGTGCCTACAGTAACTATTCATCATTTCTCTCTTTGTAGCTGCTGCTGTTCAGATATGTGGCATTGCTTCTGGACATCTGCTACAAAGTTGGCTGGTGGAAGTTTAATTGGACTCCTTCAGCCATTTCTTTTGAGTCACTATTTGTAAAAAAAAAACATTTAGTAAAATAAAGCTTCAGAATGTCATGATGTCAAGTTAGCTGTGATGTAGGTTTTGCACAGCATATTCTGCTTCTATAGATATTTTTCTTGCCATATCTAGCTGTCTAGTTCAGCCTGTTAAATGTTTATCAGTACAATAATCTTATTTTAGGCACTGAAATTAAGACCCACAATATTTTTGAATGTCCATTTAGAAATAATATATCTGATAGGATTTACTATTTACTTCACAGTATCTTCTTAAATACTTAATTGTACTTCATGCATTGTTAATTATCACAATGTCATGAGCACATTACTTGAGATCTAAGTGCAGAGCACTCAGTACTAAGGATCTGAGCCTGTGGCTGGAAGGTTGCTGGGTCAAATCCCGCAGCCGACAGAGGAATCCTACTCTGTTGGGCCCCTGAGCAAGGCCCTTAACCCCAACTGCTCCAGGGGCGCTGTACAATACCTGACCCTGCGCTCTGACCCCAGGCTTCTCTCCGTGTCTGTGTGTCTCATGTTGAGCAAGTTGGGGTATGCGAAAAGACAAATTCCTAATGCAAGAAATTGTATAGGGCTAGTAAAGTGATGTTATGTTATGTTAACTTCAAGTTCATCCTT